CCCCACCCCCGCACCGAAATGGACGGGACAGAAGCGGAAGGATGTTCTCAAAGAGACAGAGGCCAATTTCAAGGCGTTTAGAAGAGGAAGTGATGAGAAGATAAGTTTATTTTCTATTTAAACATAAAAAACATCATTTTAATAACAGCTAAAGGCGTCATAGATACTTTATTATGGTACAGTATCTAAATATATGCCTGAGAAACACATAATATTGCCCCTTTAAAGTAATGTTGGGCAATATTGATATAAAAAATGTAACAATTAATAGTGGTACTTAGCCAATTGCAATTAATATGACTATTAATAAAGGACAATTGCACTTGCATTCTCATCTATTAACCGTTGTGGCCTCAGTCCACATTGTCTGGCTTTCCTCGTACTCCYGTTTATGTTGGTGTTTCAGGTGATTAAATAAGTTCGTAGGGTTAGAGTTAGCATTAGCATCTCCTACCACTGGGCTCACATGCGCGCCTGATAGTGACAGTGTGTCGTACACAAAAATACACCCTCACATGGCACTAATTTCAGTAAATGCAACGTGGCAAATGATGCTAACTGTTGGCAGTTGAACTATTTAATTGCACATGGTATGATTTTGCCCAACCCTAGTTTGAAGTGATCTTTGTAAAACCTTTTTGAGAAACAAACATTGATCTTTGTAAAACCTTTTTGAGAAACTAACATCCTCAGTACAGCATACAAAAAGTAGATGTTTCTTTGCCACATGCAGAAATACTCTCAGGTAAAGTGAAAAGGGTAAACAAAAATGAAATACCACTTCTGTCTATCTGCATAGTAGTCTCCAGCTCCATTGTAAGCCTGTTGGAGCAGAGCATCATCACAGGCCACAGATTCATTTTTAAGTAGATTGAGCACTTTGAACCAGTCTCCCAGCTTGATCCTGAGGTTGATGGCGAGGTCCCTACAGAGACACATGTGGTCACATAATGACCTGATTTAACCAATTCAAGCTCAGTGAAAGCAGATYTGAGCTAGATCCTTCGGTACCTGCGATCCATATTCAGGTACATGCGTTCAGCCTCCTCAAACCTGCCAAAGTAGGCGGCCACTTCGGCTTGTTTCATGGGCTCGCTCTTATGGTTGCCCAGGCGTTTGACAAACAAAATGCCTGGGTAGTCTTTGCAATGGACAAAGGCCTCCTCGGCTGTCTTCAGATCCAGCTTTTGGAGAGCTGCCTCAGCCAGCAGATGCCTGACAAGTGCAGAGTGGAAAGAAAAACTTTTCAGCCAGAGAATACACAGAAGCAAATCTGATCACACAGACYTAAGTCTAATAGTCCAAAAATATATTTGCTTTTAATTTAGTGTTGTTTGCCCTACATCAGGTAAACAAAGAACGTTTGTAGTTTTAAAAAAAAGGTCCAATCAATAGTAAAACTGTTATAACTCTGGTCAAAAGCAATGCTTTGTGTTTGCAARGTGAACTGCTAACTGTGGTAACATTAACTGCACCAAGTGAATAAAGGAGGAAATAAACACTCAAACCTGTCTTCACAGACTAAATCATAGGTGTCACATTTAACATTTACCAGAGTCTTGGATGAGGATTGTCTTCAATAAATTGTGAAGCATCTTCAATGCCAACTTTTTCAATCAGTGCCCGACTGTCTCTCAGGGAGCGGATTTCAAAGTTGATGAGGTTGTCTTTGTTTGGTCGCTCTGGATCCTTAAAGAAAACAGCCCATAATGTCTCAGTGAGCAGATACTGCAACCTTTATGGAACAACGTTCAAGCTATGCAAAGAGCTTCTTTTTGTAATGAGTTTGTAATCTCTCAGATAAAACAAATTAAGTAAAGTTTCTATCCTATTCTTACATTTTCAGTATTTAAAATGAAAATAAAAAGCTGATTATTTCATGCAACTTAAAAGTTTCTTGTTTAAAATTATACCTTCATGATTTCATCAAGCAAAACAGATTTGATCTCCAGGTCCTCAAAGTCGCAGATGTATCCGGAGGTTTGAATAGGTTCCTGTTTTTGAAAATGCAATAAACTATAAATTAAAGATGTGTTTTTCTTGGGATAATAATAGTGCAAGGTGTAAAGGTAAATTTTCAAATTTAATTCTATTTTTTTATTTTTCCAACAGTTGAGTATTTACCTCTGGGTCGAGATCCCTGAAGACGTACATCCTGGTTTTCTCCATCATGGCGAACAAGTCGGGATTGTCATTTGCCCACTTCATGTCCCAAACATCTTTGCGCTCAAACCTGGATGGGTCTCCTGCACCTGCCTGGTTTCCTGCCATGTCATCTGCAGCAGAACGAACTTCCAGGTCCAGCAAAGTCAGCACGCCCGCGATGTCAATTATGGCCAGGCGACTAAAGAAAATAATGTGATCATCAATGGTTATCAAATGACACCTGATCCCATTCTGTAACACAATCAATGCTAACCTGGAGTTGCAGTTCAGAGACAGATAATAAGCTCGGTGGCTGAGGGAGTATTTCTGCATGAGAGAAACATTTGGAAGGCTGTATCTGTGAACGGTGCCAGACTCACAAGCCTGTGGACACAGAAAAATTAAACATCTATTWAAGCACTTGTGGCTTTTACTTGAATGTGTAAATCTAGGAGAATGAGAAAAGAAACATCTGAATGTAGCAAAAGGACACAAATACAAACCTGGGTTTGACACAAGACACAAAAACGTTTATTAATAACTCAGTATACATGCTTACATTTTAATTCTAAAATTCCAAACAGGAAGGTACTTACCACTATCAGGGTTTTATCTGTCGCTGTAATACCACAGATAGGGTCTCGAGTTACCTGGGATAAAAACAAAACAATGATGAACTTATTTTAATATTTGTTGGAATCACTTTCTAAATTTTAATAAACATGGTAAACATAAGTATTTTTTATATATTTTCTAATCTTACTATACATTTTAAAATTCACAAAGTTTATTTTTAGAGCAGCACTGAGTGTGATAAGATAAATAAAAAACTTTTAAAATAAATGATTTATTACATTAAAATCAATAGTATTATTATTTTTTTTACATTTTATTTTTATTTATTTTATTTACCGATGTTTTACCAGTCTTTGCACTGGCGAAGATAATAATATTTCTAATAACATTTCTTACTGTGAAGGTTTTTAATGAATCGGTCCCACTGTCGTTGGTTCCAGAAGGATTACTGTCGATGTGATAGAACCTGGAGAAGCAGGAAGTGGGAACATGTGAGACAGAAGTAGAGAAACAGCCAGACAAACCTGCTGTCCCYGTTGTGACTTGTGGTCCAGGTGTGAGGAAAACCCTGGCAGAACACAAAATCACACCTAGCCCGTCTGGAACCTCGGTGGCATTTCATGACTGAATGAATCCTTTTCATTGCCCTGTCAGGACCGACACTTTACACTATAATGGTGAGCCAGTAAAGCAAAAGTTTCACCCGCTGACTCATAGAATCAAACACTGTGGTGCAGAGGCTTTCCAGTAATCGTGTGATGTGAACTGGAAATCCTAACYTGGCCATCCTTTTTTCAAGTACCTGCCTTTGTTAATGAACTGTGGAGCACAGGGGTCTGCAACCTTTACYATCAAAAGAGCCATTTAAGCCACTTGACGCACTAATAAAATGTGTTCAGAGCCACAAAGCAAGCTACAACTGCAATTATCAACTGGTGGTCCGTGGGCCTTTTTGAGGCCTTTTCTAGAACCTTTACAGCCAGTAGAGGTGACATTATAAAACAAATAAATATATTGTGAATTTTATTATATATTATTATTTTTACACAGGACAAATGAAAGACCAGATTCATGTAAACAAGAAAATACTGCATATAGTTTATACCGAATTTCATAAAAACTATTACAACTGAACTACTCAGGCATGTTTTTTTACTAACTTTTATTATGTAGTTTTTGAATTCTTTAAAGGTAATTCTGATGGATTTGAGAAAAAGATCATAGAAAGAAGTTGGATTTTTTTTTAATTAAACAGGTTAGCATGAGCTAATCAAGAGGTTTTACTTTTTGTATTAGTAGTATTGATCACATATTTGCAWACAAATTGATTTCTTTTGTAGGTATAAAAACAAACAAAAGAAAARGGTCCTATGTTTTTTGAAAGAGTCGCTGCAGAGGGACCAAAGAGCCACATGTGGCCCCAGAGCCGCAGGTTGCAGACCCCTGGTGTAGCAGCATTCATGGCAACCAGTTTAAATAAAGTTTAGCCCAACATTAACTGTTATTTACTTTATAGCTGCCTGAAAAGACTCACCTCTCCCGCCCACCTTTCTTTGTTTTGCTGACTTGGTTGATCTCCAGAGCTGTCAGCTTCTTTGCCACTCTGTACTGCCACAAGTAAAACYCTTCTTTGGATGCAGCAATGACATGAGTCTTTGTCATGGTCACAAACAGTGGATCTGAACAGATAAGATGAAAAACAAAAACAGTGTGCTGATAACTTTTAGCAACTCCAGAAGAAATGGATTTGTATTAAGTTCTCAGAAAAGACTTGATGTTTTAGTTTGGATTTTTATATTTTATTTAGATTAATTCTGAGTCAATCATTCTTCCAGATCACATTCAGCCCAGAGTCAAAAGACCAAGCTTTGCTACAGATGCTATTTTATACACAAAACTCACCAATGTCAATGTATTTTGAGTCCAGAGGAGTTCCAATGGAGTTGCACAGAATCAGGGCGTACTGAACAAACACAACAGAGCTATCTTATTTAAWAAGTCAATATAAGCTTTATATATATGAACAGATTGATATTCTTATATTTGTGATGTAGGGTTTTAAAATAAACAATACTGCACTTTTGCAGGATTTCCAGATTCTGACCCAGCATCCTCCTGAGTGACAACAAATTAGCAAAACAAGGTGTAACATTTGATCCCATTTCTGTAACACTGCTGAGTTTAGTACGCAAATATTTAAAAAGTAACATAAAATGTAAAGTCTCAAATTACAGCAACCAGCATGCAATTTATTTATTTATTTTTCTACCTGAGGCTGGGATTCATCTGCTTTGCTAGCCAGGATGCAGAAGTCTCCAGAAGTAGTGATGGACATCAAGCTCTTGACATATTTGACAAACTTCTCATTGTTTTTGGTATCCCAGAACACTACGGAGTACTCCTGGCGCTCTGGCTTCGTGTAGGCATACACCACTGTGCTGCAACAGTAGCCCCACTGTGTCAAACACATTACAAATAAAAATAAAAAGCTGCCCAAAGAAAAGGTTTATTGATTCTCAAATTTCATCTACTTTTGACAGGAGCTAAAGCGTGACAAATACAGTATGTGCTTCCCACTTCATTTCTCCCATGGCATCTTTTTTTTTTCTTTCTGAGTCCTCAAAGGTAAATCTGCATAAATTAACTCATCCAGAAAAAAAAACTGTAGTTAGGAAGACACCAGTCTTCCAAGTAATCCTTTCAACAAATAAACATTCAAGATTCAATTCAATTCAATCATACTTTATTGATCCCAGAGGGAAATTAGATCTCCATCTCAATCTCCATCTTCTTCCACTTATCTGTAGTTGGGTCARGGAGGCAACAGGTCCAGGAGAGAAACCCAGACATCCCTCTCCCCAGCGACTCTTTCCAGCTCGTCCTGGGGGACCCCAAGGTGATCCCAGGCGAGTGAGGATACATAATCCCTCCAGCGAGTCCTGAGTCTTCCCCGGGGCCTCCTACCAGTGGGACGTGCCGGGAGGGATCCAGGAGGCATCCTGGAGGCATCCTGGTGGTTCAGGTATCTGGTTAGGATGCCTCCTGGATGCCTCCTGGCACGTCCCACTGGTAGGAGGTATCCTGGAGGCATCCTGGTGGTTCAGGTATCTGATTAGGATGCCTCCAGGATGCCTCCTGGATGCCTCCTACCAGTGGGACGTGCCAGGAGGCATCCTAACCAGATACCCGAACCACCTCAACTGACTCCTTTCAATGTGGAGGAGCAGCGGCTCTACTCCGAGCTTCCCCCYAATGACGGAACTCCTCACCCTATCTGAGTCTGGCCACCCTACGAAGYAAGCTCATTTCAGCKACTTGTATCTGGGAACTCGTTCTTTCGGTCATGATCTCATGATCCACGCCTCATGYCCAWAGGTGAGGYTTGGAACAAAGACAGTAAATCCAGASATTTGCCTTTCAACTCAGCTCTTTCTTCACCACGACTGACCAAAGCAACACCCTCATTACTGAGGACAAGGCCACAGTCCYTTAARCCATCTCRCGCTCCATCCTTCCATTATTRGTGAACAAGACACSCAGAMYCTTAAACTCCTCCACTTGAGGCAGAGACAAATAAACAGAGCTAATAAAAACTGTGACTGCTTTGACCCTACATCTGACCAGGACTGTAATGTTTGACTATCAACATAAAATTGAGTGCTCTGGGACATTATTTAAAAATAATAGAGAGTTCCATGGCYTGTGTGAGTGACAAGTGTTGGTATTTACCTTGTAATCTGGCCTTATGTTGGCAAAGTAGATATACGAGTCCACAGCCAGGCCAATTCGAAGGCCTCCTCCCTCCCAGGCAATCCCTGACATCTGCTTCCCAGGCACTTTCAGAGTTCTTAGATGCTGTACGAAAGCAAAGGGACAGTGAGAATGTACAACTGAGCTTCCTAGATTTGTCTTTGAYCCAATCTGAACATAGTGTGGGAGATGAAATAAACTCTGCCAGCAAAATTAGGAAAAAATCTGACAAACTGCACCACCTGCCCCCACTCTGTTAATAATAACTTCAGTAAGAATTAATGACGATGACAACTATTACAGTCACTTCATTATCTATCTAATTTTATTTAGTACCTTGGAGACYTTTGACTTGGGTTCTGTGATTTATATAAAAGGTTAGAAATAAAAGGCTAACCCTAACCCATTAGAAAACGTGAAAAAACATGCATCTTCACCTCTCCGAACGGTGTGTAAAATTGCACCACATTGAATTCCTTCTCCATATTTGCGGCCCTGAGAGAACCGGCCACTGCCAGCACACTGCCACAGTGGTTCCACTGGATACTGACCACATTCATCAAAGTATCAATGCACACTGGGTCTGCAGGAAAGGGTAGAAATGTTGYGCAGCATTGTTAGCAAACATTTCAGAAGAATCAAAAATACGTAACCCCGTAAGAAATGCTTTCTTGGTCACTCACTCTCATCGCTCTCGTAGCGCATTATTTGACATCTTCCATTGTCAAAACAGATGGCAAGACACGGACAGTCTGGCTCAACGTAACCTCCACTTCCTGCATACCAGTGGATACCAGATATACTGACGGCTCCACTTGAACTGCTGAGACAGCTGATAGTCATTTTTTTCTGAAACATAACAGCATACAAGTTAACACGGATATACTATGGTACGATGTCAAAAAGACAAATAAGTTGTCTTTTTTTATGTGAATATGTATTAAGAAAAACAAAGTGAATATAAATTTGAATGGTCTGAAATYTTCAAATCTTTTAAAACCACACTTAATTCTTACTGATGCAAGTACAGCTGTTCACTAGCGTGGTTGTGGATTGCACCTTATTCATGGTTTATTAAAAGAGCATCACTTAGGAGACTATGCAGCATATTATGCAACATTACTACTTCACTTAAGCCCATACTCACCATCAAGTTTCCTTGATTGTCATAAATGTGTACTTCTCCGTTGGCCATGCCAAAAAGGAGGATTCTGCTATCTGGTGACCATGCCACATGAGCAAGCTGACTTCCCTTCAGCTCCTTTCCCCAAATCCGGTTTCCTACAAACAGATGATAATCCTACTGAACATATCTTTATTCAGTTATTCGAAATGTATACAAATGAATCCCCCTGAAACATTTTGTAATAATCTAAAAACTCATACCATCTACAGATCCAACGATGACTGCTCCATCTTCATACACAATGCAGATCTTTTGACCATCAGCATTCCAGCTCATGCTTCTCACCACTGACTTGTTCCTGTTGTTAATCATCTCCTCACACCATGCACCTGGAAAAGGAATAAAGATATACTCCTAAACAAGACAATATCCTTGCAAAGGAAATAAATATTTCAGTCTGATTTTAGTCCTCACCTTTGTAAAGCATCCAAACAATGATGAGCCCATTTTGGTCGCTGGTTGTCAGCTTCTCATATTGTTCGTTCCATGTCACTACCTGCACCGCACCTGCATGTGTTTAAATCAGTAAACTGAGACAGGTTTTTAAAACTGCATTAAAAGACAATTAGATTTTAAAARGTAAAAAAGGGCAGCAACACAGTTGTACAAAATGTGAAATTTTTTTAGAATAAAAATATCAAAAATCAGAAAACTTTTATCAATAAAAAACAAATGTAAGGACTTGTATTTATTGTTGTGTTTGATGAATTTTGTAAAGTCATTTTGTTAAACTTTTGTGTGAAATGCATTTTTTTACTATTGTCTTCAGAAACATCACAAAGTTTTTAAATTAAGCTAAAAAAGAGTGTTTTTATCAAATAATTGTGCCACGAAAAAGTGATTGCGGTGTAACGTTTCTTAAAAGTAGTGTTTGCATGAAACCCCTATGAAACATTTGAGAATGGAGTCATTTTCTAACAGCTCACCACTGTGTCCCTCCAAAGTCTGGTTCATGGACAAGTTACTGGGTGCAGCAAGACCTCGAAGTCTGGCATCATCTGAAAGACAGTTTAAACTTTGTTCATTTACTGTAATCATTATTAAGATTTTGACAAATTCCTTTCAAACATGCACACGCCATAGTTTTAAATTCTACTATTTTTACATGATGCACACATTATCAAATACTCTGTGACACTTAAGTGAACCTTAAAGTTTATTAACCATCAAAATACCAACTACAAGAACAAAACCTACAGTAAAAACAATGGATGTTGCTAGTAAATTWCGTTGCCTTGCAAATGTCCTTTTGGTGCATGTTTAAAAAAAACGTGTTTTCCTGATTTTATGATCAAAGCACCTCAAAAAAAAAAAAAGTCGAAACAGCCCCGGAAGAGGATCCCAGTTTTATATTCTTACCTGTTTGAGTTTCAAGCTTCAGCACTCTCAGCAGACCATCATCCCCTCCACAAGCAATGAAACCCTGGTCTTTGTTCCAGGAAACGCATTTCAGATGGATATTGTTGGGAATAGCAATCTATACCACATGAAAAATATGACAGGTTTTTTACTAACAAGTCTAGTTCAGTGACATATTCTGCTCCTTAGGTTAAAGTGCTCACCTTCTTGCTGAGATAAATGAACATAATGATGGCGGAATAGTAACAACACTCTTAGAATTAAGTGTTTTCAGCCTATTTTGCACCTTATAATTATACGAAACTAATGGCTGCAAAAGATCAGCTGTTAAAAACAATGTTAAAACAAGCTACAAGGCCTCATCGTTTGTGTTAGCCTAGCTTAGCATATTTACCGCTATTCATGTCGCAAAACAAAAGCAAGCCCGTTTATACTTTTATAACACACAACTTTAAAGACTGGCAGCAGCTGCCGTTAATAATGATGGTAAGAGCATTTCAAAACAATTTCAATACAATACGGAAGTCCTTGCGTTGCCAGACTGTACTCTTGGATAAATCTGGGGTTGTAGTTTTCAAACGTCTCCCATGGTAACCGTAAACCGGAAGTGTTGGATTAGTGTCTCCTGGTATTTGTAGTTTTTTTATTTTTATTTCAACGTGGGTTTCTGAAATTTGTACATAACTAAAATAAACATGCTAATATCAAAATTGGAAAAAATTCTGATATGGCAGCAAATAAACTGAAGTATCATAAGAGGATTTTTCTATAAATTTACATTTTTTTCAAATGAATTTATAATCTCTTATAATCTCGTTATGCACATGTGTAATGACAATAAAGGTATTCTATTCTATTCTATTCTGTTAAAATAAAATAATTCAATAAAATTTATAGCTTATAATCTCGTTATGCACATGTGTAATGACAATAAAGGTATTCTATTCTATTCTATAATGTTAAAATAAAATAATTCAATAAAATTTATAGCCTAAAATATTTAATGGAGCTTAAATTTTTAATACACCTTCCTATTTGATCCATTTGTACACATGTACAATGACAATAAAGGTATTCTATTCTATTCTATTCTATTCTATAATGTTAAAATAAAATAATTCAATAAAATTTATAGCCTAAAATATTTAATGGAGCTTAAATCTTTAATACACCTTCCTATTTGAGCCATTTGTACACATGTACAATGATGAAAAATGCTGTAATTGTTTTATTATTTTCCTTTGTAAGAATAATTTTGTTCCTGAAAGTTTTTAAACATGCATTCGTTTGAAAAATCGAGCCCAGATGTTTCGAAATCCACAGGGGTTTGCCTTATTTTTTCAGCATTCATGATTATTTTTGTCTGTAAAATGAAACAAACACAAATGTTTCAAATTCAAAGTTTATTTATTTTCAGTTTTTTTCACATACAGCCACATTTTATAATACAAATACACTAAATAATATTGTGTGACGAAGGTACCAAAATGAATATTGCACGTACAGCTACACAAGAGGTGGTGATAACATGGAAGTTCACGCAACACATATGTGTGGAGATTCTGTAGAAAAAATACCAAGATCTTAAAATAATTCTGTTGGAAAAAAATTTAAACTTCTGCATGCATGGGAAATTTAGTCTTTTCAAGAGATGTACTGAACTATAAATCCCTGACCTCTTTAATCTCCTTGCTAAATACTGAACTGTTTGTGGTGAAAAATCCCTGCTCTGAAAATTTCTGACTCCCTGTTAGAAAGAAGAAGGGGATCATAGTTATTCAACGTGATGTAACAAAGCTGTTTGATCAGGATTTAGTTTGGTCTTTTCTATAATTTTGCAATCTGACAACAGATTAGCTCAATGAAAAAAGCTTTGTGTTATATAATGGAATTGAAAAATTATTACTTTTGTTGCAGTAAACTTATCAAGAGAAAACAACTTGAATGAAAAAAAGTTACGTTAGTTTGTGCCACTTTTTTGTGAAAGTAAAACCAATACCACCAGCATATTGCATAAAAATATAGCACCATGTAAATTTTCATTCTAACATTGGAAGATGTTGATTTTTTACAGACGATGACTTCCTCTTGGTGAGAATAACGGTTGCATCAAAGGTTGSCTCTCGATGCCATCACTGTTTTTAATGTCTGAGTTTGCCCCCAATTCTATTCACTTTGTCTGAAAGTTCATCAAGTGATCAAAAGGTCAAGGAAATTAAATGATTTTCTATCATTAAATGCATTAATCACAACAGTACTATTTTTATAACCAATATTTATCAATTAACCAATTATTTCTTTTACAACAGAAATTTGGACTTTGAGGAGAACAACAAGGATGCATTAATGAAAGCTTCATTCCACTTCTGTACTCATACACACTCATTATGTGTAGAACAAAAACAAAACCTCCTCTAAATGGAATGCAGCCCTAATTGATACAATTGTTTTCCATCATTTTGATGTCAAAAAGGATATGTTTCCTGCTCATCTCCTGAATGGCTGACTGCACCTTTTGCTGGAATACAATCTGAGCTTCACACATGCAGGCATCTTCTGTTGTTTCACCCCTCATTTCCTCTGAAACAAACAAACAAAGGGGAAAAAAAGTCAACAAATTCAATATTTTTTATGATTTATGCCTTTTGTCAGTCTAGTTGAAAGGCGCAATGGAAGATTTGTGTCCTCATTTGAGTTGGAGAGCAGTGTTAGATTAAATCAATTGTGTTATTTAATGAATTAGGTTACATGAGTCAGCAAAAATTTTGTACCACCAAGAATTTATTTTGTGTGAGAGAGTGGGAGGTGAACTAAACATTTTCAGTCATTTGAACCAAGTAATTATCATTCTAGTGTGCTCACTTACAGAAGTCAGCCCTAAATGAAATAATTAAATGTAAATTCACATAATTTTTTTTAAATACACAAATGCAAGAAGMTAATTGAATGCAAACAATTTCTTTGTTTTATGACTTCTGAGAAGGACCAGTTTATTTGGCTGGACTTGGAGGTCTCGGTCAGCTGCACACTTACAACTGAAAAATGCAAAAGAAATGTTTATTTTCAATTAAAAGGTACACATTATAATCTAAATCTACAGAAATGGGTAAAACTTTTAGAGGAATGCCACTAAATGGACTAAAAAAAGTCTGTTACATTCATACAAAAGTTACAAAAACCAACCTTAGTGAGCATGGTTATGTTACAAAAACAATCCTTACGTGAACATGTTTTCTGGTCTGTATTCAACTCATATCCTGCTTGACACTTGCACTTGTAAGAATCACCATTACTGAGACAAATCTGCTGGCAGTCGTGTCCCTGAGCACATGCATCCCACCCTGGAAGGAGACACTCCGTCAACAAACACATTTTGTCTTTTGTTCTGAAATACTCTGAAAGCTTCACCAAACAATGAAACTATTATTTCTCAAAGATTGCCTATCCTCTACCTCATACGCAAAAGTACAAYGATTATTTTTCCACCGTTCATGGCACAGATAATAATAAATTTTGCGTCCACCCTCACAAACACAGTTTTTTATTGACTACAATATTCTTTTTTCTGTAAAATCTGAAGTTTAAAGCACAAAAAAAAAAAAAACATGTTGGTAGCTCTTGGATCAGTTTTAAAATAATTCAAACAGGTTTTGCAAAGAGGTCATCTTACGTGAGCATGTTTTCTTATCCACATTAAGCAGATATCCCACACGGCACTTGCAGACGTAAGAAGCCCCGTTGTTGACACATATGTGCTGGCAGTCATGTCCCTGAGCACACACATCTGAAGCTGGAAAAACAAAAGCGCACAGATTAGTTTTAGTTGTTGTTTTTTTACCATCGCCTTTTCTATAGCCCTCAGAATGAGTTTTAAACATTAAGAAGTCCTGTGACAAGTCCTTGAAATAAAAACAAAACTAGTACTTATCCAAAACAAATTCCTAAAAATGACAAAAACACATTTACTGAATAGGCTTTTTTTCTTCATTTTTTTTCATTTGACATGTATACAGGTAGTCTCATTGAGATCTAGAATCTCATTTCCAAGAGAGACCTGTTATAAGACAAAAAAAATACAAACACACAAGTAAAAGAAGCAAAAATAAATTGGACTCAAATAAAAGAGCTAATAAAACATGAGCTAAAAACAAGAGCACATTTCATAAGGAGATTTTTCTTTTTGTTAGGCTTAGTTTTACTTTTTGTTTCTCCAAAAATACATAGTAAAATAAAAAAATATTTAAAGTATATAATTTCATTCAGGAGATATCGTGCACACAAGACCACCCGTGATGGACGGACACCGCATTAACACACAGAAAGCCAGAGAACAGTATGCCTCGGGCRCCAATGGGCGAAGGTATAATAAAAGTCTTACGTGAGCATGTTTTCTTATCTGGATTCAACACATATCCCTCCCGACACTTGCACTGGTAGGAGTTCCCACTGTTTATGCAAATGTGTTGGCAATCATTTCCATAACCACATGAATCAGAACCTGAAAAGAGACCACATGATATGAACACCACAAAAAATTTAAGTAACTGTAAGCAAGCGTGTCAAGCTCTTTGAGAATGCTGCTTACAATTATCTGACATTTCTTTATGGATCATAACTTCTTTTTTATTTTTACTCTGAATGTACCAGCTTGGTGTAAAGTTGCTCTTTAGCCAAAAGTCACATGTAACATGACACTACAATGTTTCGCAAGTTGTTCTTCTATTTATGTTGTAAAATATTATTTTTTAAGCGTTCTTCAACACACCTAGCATGCAGTGATTGTTGTACCCTGAGCACTAGATCAGTAGTTCTTACGTGAGCACGTTTTCCGGTCCGCGTTCAACACAAATCCCTCCCGGCARCTGCAGAGGTACGAGTCGCCGTTGTTGACACAAATGTGCTGGCAGTCATTTCCCTGGACACATCTGTCCYAACCTGAGGGGTTTAATCAAATTTTAGTCCAATTGAATGCAACCTATTGAAGAAATTTGCAGTTATTTGTTGTCATGTACTCTTTAGATCCCCTGCAACAAGCCTAAAAGTATTTTTTGACATTATACAACCTAAACAAAATTCAATTAGAAGACAAAAGTTTCAAACAAAAATAAATATAATCCATCTAAAAGCTTGTTAGCATTGTGTTTCTGCTTTGAACATTTAGCTGTTCATGAAACTTGGACTCATTATGTCCTTAAATACACAAGTGTTGATCTGTATATTGACACTTTGAACAAACACTAATACATACGTTATGTTTGATCCTTTTTAACCCAGAAATTGAAACTGTACTTAAGCCATAGTTATCACAGATGGCTCTTACGTGAGCAGGTTTTCTTGTCTGCGTTTAACATAAATCCCTCTCGACACTTGCAGATGTATGAGTCGTCATTGTTTACACAAATGTGCTGGCAGTCATGTCCATGGGAACATGGATTAGAACCTGAGAAAAAAAATATATATATTATGTACAACATGTGACACCTAAAGACATCAATACTTTGTTTGGTCATAAAGATGCAAGAAGAGCAAGAGGTCTTTTTTGGTTATTCCTGCATCCAAAATCAAAGAAACATTTTCTGACTTTGAAGAAAAGGGTGTAAAATGTTTTGTTGTCGATTCAACATGGAATGCAATATGATTTATTTTTGGATGTAAAAACCAAAACATGGATTAGCTGAAACAATCTAACATACTTTTACGTGAGCAAGTTTTCTGGTCGGCATTCAACACGTATCCCGATCGACACTTGCAGGCGTACGAGTCACCACTGCTGAAACAAATGTGTTGGCAGTCATGTCCCTGGCCACAAGGGTCCGAACCTAAAAAGCGACATTTCTCCCTTTAGTAAGGTTTTTCCATCCAAATTCAAAACATTCTTTGAGGCAATTGTGACTAAATACAAAATTTAACTTGCAAAAGTCGTAATTTAAAGAAGATAAATAGTTATACACTTACGTGAGCAGGTTTTTTTATCGGAGTTCAAGATATATCCATGGCGACATTGGCAGTTGTATGAGTTGCCACTGTTGACACAAATGTGCTGACAATTGTGTCCCTGAGTGCATGCATCCAAACCTAAGAAGAAAAACTTTCAAGTGATCTGATTGGCTTAGGTCAAGTGAAATCAGTCATTTTGTCTCATATTTCTGGGTTAACATGCAAGTAATTAGTTCATCTGCTGCATGCAAGTTAGTTTGTTTGCTCTCTGATTTAAGTTAAATGGATTTTTTTGCATTTGAAGCAATCTATTCATACAAAAAGATGGATGTTCAAGTGTTGATTCTCAGTCAACTAAACATCTTTCCATTGGTTTTTCAACGAATAATACATGCAGTCAAATATATATATG